CACTCTAGACTCGACACTCGACACTCGACACTCGGCACTCGACACTTGACAATCGACACTCGATACTAACACTCGAGACTCGACACTCGACACTAGACATTGATTATTGACACTCGAACCTTGGCCGCCGACTCTCGACACTAGACACTTGATCGTAGACACTCGACACTCGGCACTCTAGACGCGACACTCGACACTCGACACTCGGCACTCGACACTTGACAATCGACACTCGATACTAACACTCGAGACTCGACACTCGACACTAGACATTGATTATTGACACTCGAACCTTGGCCGCCGACTCTCGACACTAGACACTTGATCGTAGACACTCGACACTCGGCACTCTAGACTCGACACTCGACACTCGACACTCGGCACTCGACACTTGACAATCGACACTCGATACTAACACTCGAGACTCGACACTCGACACTAGACATTGATTATTGACACTCGAACCTTGGCCGCCGACTCTCGACACTAGACACTTGATCGTAGACACTCGACTCTCGGCACTTGACAATCGACACTCGATACTCAACACTCGACACTCGGCATTCGACACTCGACACTCGACACTCAACACTCGACACTCGGCACTCGACACTTGACAATCGACACTAGACATTGATTATTGACACTCGACACTCGACACTTGACCGTTGACACTCGACACTCGGTACCCGACACTCGACACGCATCTCACGACACTCGACATTTGACGGGCGACTCTCAAAACTTGGCTGTCGACACTCGACACTTGATCGTAGACACTCGACACTCGACACTCGACACTCGACACTCGACGCTCGACACTCGGCACTCGACACTTGACAATCGACACTCGATACTAACACTCGAGACTCGACACTCGACACTAGACATTGATTATTGACACTCGAACCTTGGCCGCCGACTCTCGACACTAGACACTTGATCGTAGACACTCGACTCTCGGCACTTGACAATCGACACTCGATACTCAACACTCGACACTCGGCATTCGACACTCGACACTCAACACTCGACACTCGGCACTCGACACTTGACAATCGACACTAGACATTGATTATTGACACTCGACACTCGACACTTGACCGTTGACACTCGACACTCGGTACCCGACACTCGACACGCATCTCACGACACTCGACATTTGACGGGCGACTCTCAAAACTTGGCTGTCGACACTCGACACTTGATCGTAGACACTCGACACTCGACACTCGACACTCGACACTCGACACTCGACACTCGACACTTGACAATCGATACTCGACACTCGACCCTTGGCCGCCGACTCTCGACACGTGACTGTCGACACTCAACACTCGACTCTCGACACTCGACACTCGACTCTCGACACTCGACACTCGACACTCGGCACTCGACACTTGACAATCGACACTCGATACTCAACACTCGACACTCGACACTCGGCACTCGAAACTCGGCACTCTAGACTCGACACTCGACACTCGGCACTCGACACTTGACAATCGACACTCGATACTAACACTCGAGACTCGACACTCGACACTAGACATTGATTATTGACACTCGAACCTTGGCCGCCGACTCTCGACACTAGACACTTGATCGTAGACACTCGACACTCGGCACTCTAGACGCGACACTCGACACTCGACACTCGGCACTCGACACTTGACAATCGACACTCGATACTAACACTCGAGACTCGACACTCGACACTAGACATTGATTATTGACACTCGAACCTTGGCCGCCGACTCTCGACACTAGACACTTGATCGTAGACACTCGACACTCGGCACTCTAGACGCGACACTCGACACTCGACACTCGGCACTCGACACTTGACAATCGACACTCGATACTAACACTCGAGACTCGACACTCGACACTAGACATTGATTATTGACACTCGAACCTTGGCCGCCGACTCTCGACACTAGACACTTGATCGTAGACACTCGACACTCGGCACTCTAGACGCGACACTCGACACTCGACACTCGGCACTCGACACTTGACAATCGACACTCGATACTCAACACTCGACACTCGACACTTGACAATCGACACTAGACATTGATTATTGACACTCGACACTCGACACTTGACCGTTGACACTCGACACTCGACACTTGACAATCGACACTAGACATTGATTATTGACACTCGACACTCGACACTTGACCGTTGACACTCGACACTCGGTACCCGACACTCGACACGCATCTCACGACACTCGACATTTGACGGGCGACTCTCAAAACTTGGCTGTCGACACTCGACACTTGATCGTAGACACTCGACACTCGACACTCGACACTCGACACTCGACACTCGACACTCGACACTCGACACTCGACACTCGACACTCGACACTTGACAATCGATACTCGACACTCGACGGGTGACTCTCAAAACTTGGCTGTCGACACTCGACACTTGATCGTAGACACTCGACACTCGACACTCGACACTCGACTCTCGACACTCGACACTCGACACTCGACACTCGACACTCGGCACTCGACCCTTGGCCGCCGACTCTCAACACGTGACTGTCGACACTCGACACTCGGCACTCGACACTTGACAATCGACACTCGATACTCAACACTCGACTCTCGACACTCGACACTCGACACTCGACACTCGACACTCGGCACTCGACACTTGACAATCGACACTCGATACTCAACACTCGACTCTCGACACTCGACACTCGACACTCGACACTCGACACTCGACACTCGGCACTCGACACTTGACAATCGACACTCGATACTCAACACTCGACACTCGACACTCGACACTCGTCACTCGACACTCGACACTCGGCACTCGACACTTGACAATCGACACTCGATACTCAACACTCGACACTCGACACTCGGCACTCGAAACTCGGCACTCTAGACTCGACACTCGACACTCGACACTCGGCACTCGACACTTGACAATCGACACTCGATACTAACACTCGAGACTCGACACTCGACACTAGACATTGATTATTGACACTCGAACCTTGGCCGCCGACTCTCGACACTAGACACTTGATCGTAGACACTCGACACTCGGCACTCTAGACGCGACACTCGACACTCGACACTCGGCACTCGACACTTGACAATCGACACTCGATACTAACACTCGAGACTCGACACTCGACACTAGACATTGATTATTGACACTCGAACCTTGGCCGCCGACTCTCGACACTAGACACTTGATCGTAGACACTCGACACTCGGCACTCTAGACGCGACACTCGACACTCGACACTCGGCACTCGACACTTGACAATCGACACTCGATACTAACACTCGAGACTCGACACTCGACACTAGACATTGATTATTGACACTCGAACCTTGGCCGCCGACTCTCGACACTAGACACTTGATCGTAGACACTCGACACTCGGCACTCTAGACTCGACACTCGACACTCGACACTCGGCACTCGACACTTGACAATCGACACTCGATACTAACACTCGAGACTCGACACTCGACACTAGACATTGATTATTGACACTCGAACCTTGGCCGCCCACTCTCGACACTAGACACTTGATCGTAGACACTCGACACTCGGCACTTGACAATCGACACTCGATACACAACACTCGACACTCGACATTCGACACTCGACACTCGACACTCGGCACTCGACACTCGACAGTCGACACTAGACAATCGACGCAGACGCCGACGCCGACACCGACACCGGCGCAGAGACCGACACCGACACTCACACTGATACTCACACCGACTCTGACACTGACATTGACACTCACACTGACACTCACACTGACACTGACGCCGACGCCCACGCCGACACCGACACCGACATTTACACACAACAAAACAAACAACTCTACTTGGCAAACAAGACTACTCGAAAACCTTAGACATAAAAAAAATCATGAACACAGACACGTGTGCCTCGTGCGGCCCGCGCACACACGTAACTTCTAGTTATAGCTAAAACCATAGGAATTCGTTTCATATGAAATATACGTTTCTTCTTTTGAGATGTGAAGATTTTTTTTTCGGACTACTCTATTGCTGTTGGCCACAGCTGGCCTTTACAGTTTTACCGGACGTTAGGGGGCGAGTGCCAGATGGCACTCCAAATCCGCAGAAGGACTTATGGAGCGGCTGAAGGCCAACTCCTGCCTGACGGATACGACTTTAGTCTGAGGGCACCACTAGAGGTTCGAACCTCGGCTCAGGCCGTCGTAATTTCGATCCCCGTTTGAATTGGACGGGGGATCGATCGGAGGGGGAGATAAGAAGAACTGACAAGAAACTCAGCTCGTATTCTTTATAATTAAATGTACATGTTTACAATGATATACAGTCATTAAAATTGAAATTTGGGAGAATAGAGCCAGCATACGCTATTGCAAAAAACAAAAAATCTAATCAGTGTTCGCAACCTGAACAGACCAGTCCCCACAAGCAAATAAATAATAAAAAGCTTTATACGTTTTAGGAGGTCCTTTTACGTTTTAGAACCTCCCTAAGGCTTATTTTATACTTGTAAAACAAATCCTGAGATTCGGAGAGTATCCTTGTTATCTAAATATATATACTCAAAGGTGACTGACATAGTGATCTATCAACGCACAGTCCAAACCACTGGACGGATCGGGCTGAAATTTGGCATGCAGGTAGATGTTATGATGTAGGCATCCGCTAAGAAAGGATTTTGATTAATTCTACCCCCAAGGGGATAAAATAGTGGATGGAAGTTTGTATGAAACTTTGTCAATTTTAAACCGATCGGGCTGAGACTTTGCATGCATAAAGCTACTATGACGCAGGCATCCCCTAAGAAAGGATTTTAATAAATTCCGTGTTAATAAATTAACGCGAGCGAAGCCGCGGGCAAAAGCTAGTTCTATCAAGCAAAGGCAAGTACATAAAATAGCTCTACCTACTCCGATCACTGATTATCACCCTTAATGTAAACATACTATTTTTTTTTAGAAAACTGTTAAGCGTGAACTCTGAATCGTACTACACGTATGCGGGGTCACTGACATCGCCAGATTGCAACGAGGTTGTCATTTGGATTATATTTGACACACCAATTTATTTATCTGACGCTCAGGTGGGTTTTATTAAATACTAGCAACTCGCCCCGGCTTCGCACGGGTGTACATATGTTATACACATAAACCTTCCTCTTGAATCACTCTATCTATTAAAATAGACCGATTCAAAATCCGTTGCGTAGTTTTAAAGATTTAAGCATACATATGGACGGACAGATAGCGACAGCGACTTTGTTTTATACTATGTAGTGAAGTTTTAAGTGTATATTAAATAAGTTTCAAGCTTCTATAGCTTTAAAAATGTCAATACTTCTATACAAACTTTTACCTCCCCTTTCAACCCCTTACAACCCGTTTATAGCATTAAAAAGCAGCCTATGTGAAGGACATACTCAGGGTCTAGACAGATAGTCTAAATATTAAATTTCATTTAAAATGAGTCAGTAGTTTTAGTGTAAAAGCGTGACAGACAGACAGAGTTACTTCACATTTATATTAGTAAGGATTGATAAATTAATATTTAATTTTACTCCCTTAAGGATATAATTTTAACAAACTTTGAATGTCATATTTATTTATTTTTAATCAACAGCTTAAAAAATAAGTTACATAGTAGCTTGTAACTTATTTTTTAAGCTGTATTAAAAATAACGATACTTCCATACAAATGTTTATCTCCCCTTTCAACCCTTTAAATAAAAAATAACCTATGTCCCAGGGTCTGAACTATCGGTGTACCAAATTTCATTTAAATCAGTTTAGTATTTTTGGCGTGAAAGCAAGGCAGACAGTTACTTTCATAATTATATTTGTTGGGATTGATAAACTGATCCACAGTATCGGCTGTTCAGCAAAGTGGGTGTAGGTCGCCACAACTTCAGGGGTCTCCAGAAGGTGAACAGCCATGAGGTGTACCGACCAGCGCATGCTACCATCACCACGCCGCAGATCGTCAAAGTCCTCGATGACATGGTGCAGCTTGTCGCTCAGTTCTTTAGGAACGTCACCAAGTTAGTGCTCTTCAAGGTTTTGGAAATTCCATAAAATGGCCACGGCCTAGCGGTTTAGGGTAGCGCTGTACTTCCAATGGTCGCGGGTTCGATTCCTCGCACGGTGCAAAAATTTGTATTCCTTTTTTCGAACTATTCTAATGCTTTTGCCTTAACAGCTTCACCGAACGATAGGGGGCGAGTGCAGATGGCGCTTTTTTTCAAACTATACTAATGCTATACTATGCTGTTGGTAGTAGCTGGCCTTTACAGATACCGAATAGGGTACCGCAGATGTCACTCTTAAACTATGGAAGGATTTATGAAATAGCTGAAGGTTTTAGTCTGAGAGCACCATTAGGGGTTCAAAACTCGGCCCGAGCCGAGTTTCATCGTAATTTCGATGTTCTGAAGTGTTTTGAAGTGTTCTGAAATGTTTTGAAGTGGACGGGGGATCGACCGGAGGGAGTTTCTATTCATAAGTATGATTGTTTCTATTTATCTGAGTCTTTTCTATGTATATTATATACATGTATTTATAAAATATTTTCTTTATAAAAAAGCTTATTATAAAATTTGAAGAATTTATAAATGATAATAATGTTTTTGTAGAAAATATCTAACTTAAAATTCATAGCGCTGACATTATCTGATTGAACAGAGATTAAGTGCGTAGCCGTTTCTATGTTGATTGTCGCATGCCTAATCCTTGTTGTTAATTAAATCAACATTTATTTAAAAGAGCAACTCACAAATTTCTTGCTTATTCTTCTTGTGATGAATCTGCATTCCGAATAAGCGGTAGAATATAAAAACTTGACTATTCCAAAGTGCTTATATTAAGTTTATTTGAATAAAGATTATTTCTATTTCTATTTTTACATAAAAACATATTTATGTAAGTATTTATATCAGTTGTCTAATATCCATAAGCTCTGCTCGCCCTCTCTCTCTGTCTCTACATACTCTACATATAGGTAGAGAATTTGTCTTCTTCAGTAATTTCTACTAGGTTTTACCTTATTTCTACTCCTGGGAGTGCTCTGAAGAGATTCGCTCAAAATCGTTCCATTATGATGACATCGTTCGAATGACATACAAAATAGAGATATTAAAACCATAGAAATAGGAATCAAACCTTGAAAATCAGTTGTATATATATTTACAACCTGTATACTTATAGGTACTTAATTTATATAAAACATAACACAACATTCAATAAATCGAATTACCTACTATTATGTCATAAAAGTATAAATTGATTAAATCAAATTCTACTAAATTCCCTCAGTTTTGACATCATTTTTAATCATGCCAAGGACAAATAATAGTGTATAATAAAAAAAAAATAATTAAAGTATAGGCAGCCTATTATCTTTCTGAAATAAGCGAGATAGTGTATTAAATAATTACTGTTATCATTTCATTTCAGATTTATGACGAAAGGTATAAAGACGCGATAACCAGAAGGCAGTACCTGAAATAATTAGTACAGTCAGCCAGAGAGAAACTTATATAATAATTGCCATCAACCTTAGGGGACATTCATCAACTAAATGAACTACAGAACAGGGGTAAGGGGGGTTGGCGTAAAGATTTAGTACAGTCAGCCACAGAGAAAGTAATATAATAATTGCCACCACCCTTACGGGACATTCATCAACTAAATGAAGTACAGAACAGGGAGAGGGGGGGGTTGGTGAAAACATTTAGTACAGTCAGCCACTGAGAAAGTAATATAATAATTGCTACAGACCTTACAGGCCATTCATCAACAAAAAATAAGTAACTACGTCATATGTTAAGGGGAAAGGGGAGGGGGGTAAGTTGACGAAGACATTGTATAACTAGGTATTGAAGGAGTCACAAACTTCGAGTAAATTAGGAGGGATCCCACCCTTGGTTCTTATTTCGTGACGTCGATTTAGAACTATCAAAACTTGACTCGCTGTGATAGTGTAAAGTGGGAGGTAGGGGTGAGAGGAGGAGGGGGGGGGGGGGGGTGTTATGCAATGAACTAATGAATGGATTAATGAAACCTCTTTACTCACAGAAAATACTGTTATATACAGATTTTGTAAAGAAAAAATATAAGAATTATAATTTTTTTTTTGTTTTATTATTGTTCGATCTATTATAAAGATAATAAAAGGAGTGTATGTACGCAATAAAATTTCGATGTAGGTATACTTCAGTATTAGTTCTATCTCTTATAACAGCGATCTATGGAATCTGCATCAACATTTTTAGAGATGATACAAGGGAAGATCGGACCTATTGGGTCAAATACATTGGCAATAACTGGCAGTAAATCATGTTTGGATGAAAGGTTAGGTAGTTTCTTTTTTTCTTTTAAAAATGGAAAGGGAAAAAGGGTGGTTGCCAAAGAGGTCGTTGACTCTCGTTCCTGTCAGTAAATGATATATATCCTCAATTGTACCACATACTTCACAATTTTGGGAATTGTTTTTTTCATCAGGTATGCAAACTTAAATATTTAGATCGGCGTCGCAATTTTACAATGTAAGATCGTGTAGGGACCCCTCAGACAACCATCATAAACCCACGTTTTGCTGGGTTCGGAGCCCATATTCAAATTAAAAGACAAGTTGGATTTGACTATAATAACAAGTAGAGTTGATATGACTTCGCTTCAGACTCCGCTGGCTTCAACGGCGGATCCAGGGAGGGCGGATCATGGGGGTCATGACCCCCTGAGCACAGTATTTAGGTGATTATACAGATTTTATTAATATTTTTAAGTACAGTACTTACGTACATTAGTAAAATATCGGTCAAGTTAAGAATTTATAATTTAATTTTGATAACAATAGATACTTTTTACTTGTATCTATTGTTATCAAAATTAAATTATAAATTCTTAACTTGACCACGACTATGTGGGTCTCCTGGCGCCAAAGCTGGATCCTAGGCTGGCTTATACATTGTTAGAGACCTTGTCTCTCCCCTCAGTCAAGCACGATAGAAATATTTTCAATTTAAATTTTATAGTAATATTTACGTTCCGTTAGCGCAGATCACATAAACATATGTAATGATGCACACATATCTTATATATAAAATTCTCGTGTCACAGTTTTCGTTCCCATACTCCTCCGAAACGGCTTGGCCGATTCTCATGAAATTTTGTGAGCGTATTGAATAGGTCTGAGAATCGGCCAACATTGTTTTTCATCCCTCTAAATGTTAGGGGTAGCCCACCTCTAAATTTTTTTTTATTTTAAGGCAAAATAACGTTTCCCGGGACAGCTAGTATTATATAAATAATGTGTTACTATGGCATGCAGCCTTAGCAGCCTTAATACCAACTCCTGTCTTAGACACAGTTTTTTTGTTTTAAGAGACACGAGCCATCTCTAACTGTCTAGGATGGATCTATAGTACCTAATACATGAAAAACTTCCCCCTCTGCAGGTAAAATATATTAATACATAAAATTTGACGTACATAAGTGGCTGAAATATCCTACATGAATAAATGATTTCTGATGTGAATTGGTTTGGAAGCACATTGGCCGCGCGGAGGATTATGATGTATGCTATAATTAAAGTTCATGTTATTATACACCAGTGCAGAAAGATAATGTGTATATTTGTATGTATATACCTACATTAATTTAAACTGAGCCACATATCTCCAACATTAATTTTTTTTGCATTGTAAAATATTCATAAATTAATAATAATAATCTCAGGACAATTAACATAGCGCCATCTAGACCCAAGTTAACCGAGCTAAAGCTTGTGTTATGAATACTAGATAACTGATACATATACATAGATATTTTTTTTGTAAAGTCATACTTATATTATATAGAAAACAACCAGACCGATACAAACAATCATACTCATGAATACAAATGTTTGTGCCGTGCGAGGAATCGAACCCGCGACCATCGGTCGTAAAGCGGTGTGCTAGACCGCTAGACCACCGAGGTCGTCTAATCGTCAAATTATGTATTGTATAGAATAATTAGTAGTATTTTAATAGCGTAATAAAAAAAAATGTTTTTAAGCCTAATTTTTTTTTGGCGCGTCGATGTTAATTTCATTTAATTAAATAACTAAATTATAATCAATAATAACTCAGTTGTTTGTCCATTACCAGCGCCATTTTTAACATAAGCCATACATAATACACATAGATAAAACCAAAATCGATACAAACAACCATACTCATGAATATAAATGGTTGCACCGAACGAGGAATCGAACTCGCGAGCATTGGAATTAAAGCGCTGTGCTGAACTGCTAGACCATGAAGGCAGTCAACAAATTACCTTTCCCTGCTACCCCTTTCAGAGGATGCATCACAATGTCCTTAGTTTAAGTACAATAAAAAAGTAAAACCAACCAAAAATCGTTGAAAAAAAAATCACCGTATTCTCAAATTTACCATTTGTACATTTGTAAAGTACAAATGTTTAAGTGCTTGTTTTATTTTACTTTGTATTTTACCACCGTATTCTCGTATTTTTGTATTCTCAAATTATAGGTATTTAAAAACAGGTAAATAAGACGTTTTATTTAAAACAGTTTTATTAAAAATAATACAAATAAATTAACATTGATAAATGGAAATCTACAATTGTATTACATGTGATTCCTTCACAGCTACATTCCTAGTGATCTCTATATTTACAACATTTTATGCCAACTTATTTAAGGGATTATTACATTATCAAATACAGCATGGTATGTACATTTAGCATAAATGCTTTATATAAAATTGCTATGCGTTTCTTATATATTCACGACTAGCTGTACCCGCGACTTTGTCCGCGTATTTTAACTTTATTTTTCTAAAATAAAAGTAGCCTAAGTTACTCCTTATTACACCAGCTACCTGCCAAAAAAAGTCCCGTCAAAATAGGTCCAGCCATTTCAGAGATTAGCCGGAACAAACAGACAGACAAACAAAAATTTAAAAAAATGTCATTTTGGTGTATATTCTGTATTAATATTCATATGTATGTAGTAAAAAACTGTTATTTCAATATTACAAACAGACACTCCAATTTTATTTATATGTATAGATAGATGTATAGATTATGTTTGACCCATTTATAGTTGCAAGTAAATATTAATTTCTGCTGTCCATAAACGCAACTGCAACTATCAAACTCATTTATTACATTAATATACGTAAAAAAATAATAGTACATACAAATGAGTCATCCATAACTTTCTACAAGGTTTCTAGAAGCAGGAGTAGGTCTTCTGCCGCTTCGTAAGTTCCTCTATAGGTTTGAAGTGCCCTCTGTACACCTATTTTCATCTGGAGAAGGTTTAAATGCCTTAACTAGCATTTACACCGTCATAAAACTCTTCTTCCAATACTCAATTAAGAAAACTTAAAAATATCAATCTCCATTTATTTTTCAACTTTTTTTTTCAAATCGAATATCATTTATTTATACTATATAAATATAATAGGACATTTTAGCCGTTTATGAATTTATAGTTGTTTTCCCTATTGACCTGTTCAGGATACAGATTCAATTGTGAAGAACTGGCAATAAACTGAACTGTTTTTTTTTATAGCCACACCATTTACCTGGTTAACTAAAAATATAGGTGTCTGTTTAACATTAAATGAAAATCTCGTGCATGAACAACTATTGCCATACACGTTTGTCACCCCCTCCGAGCAAATGGACAGCGAAATTACGACGGCCAGAGCCGAGGTTCGAATCCCCAGTGGTGCCCTCAGAGTAAAGTCGTATCCGTCAGGTGGGAGTTTGTCTTCAGCCGCTCCATAAGTCCTTCCGCGGGTTTGGAGTGCCATCTGCACTCACCCCCTATCGTCCTGTGAAGCTGTAAAGGCCAGCTGCGGCCAACAGCATTAGAGTAGTCCGAAAAAAAAAGGTTTGTCATTTAAGTAAGATTAAAATAAGAAGCGCATCACAAACGGTTACATCAAGTCCACATTCAGTGATAATGTAATAAATCTCTTAGTTACTGAATTTAAGGTATGCTAAGGAATATCTATACAAGAATTTATACTGTCGACTCCAGCTATTAGAAGCTATTTTTGTTTGATTTGTTGTACTAGAGATGACAGAATTTATACTGTCGACTCGAGCTATTTTAATTAATATTATTTTGTTTCTTTATTGTACTAAAGGTGACATTAAATTTCTGCTCTATTTAAGTAATTAATGTGACAAATATAAACTTTTAAATAAATTATTTATTTATATAAATTTTTGTCTATGTAATTAAACAAGACATCTATTTGCAACTAGCTGTAGCTGCGACTTCGTCCGCGTGGAATTTAACTTAATGTTTCTAAAATAAAACTAGTCTAAGTTACTCCTTATTACATCAGCTACCTGCCAATAAAAGTCCCGTCGAAATCGGTCCAGCCATTTCAGAGATTAGCCGGAACAAACAGACCGACAGACAGACAACAATTGTAAAAAGTGTTTTTATTTTGTATATGTACAGTATTAATATTCATATGCATGTAGTAAAAGACGGTTATTTCAATATTACAAACAGACACTCCAATTTTATTTATATGTATATATGAATGTGGTGTGCACAATTATTATGAAATCTATACATATAATTCTACACATTCCTTCTTATATATTACATGCAAATTTTATATGAATGTTAATTCGTCTGTAAATAATGCATGTACTTTGTATGAACAAATAAACAAACATTTCTTTCATTAAATACTAATACATTATTATGTAGTAATATTTTTTATACTATTATAAGTAATTTTTTCATTTACCGTTTCTTTTCTTGTATATAGTTAGTCACATTTACAAATTCATTATTTTTGTTATAAAGGTACTGCCTAGTCAGAGATAGATGTCCTTTTTTTTTTAAGACTGAGCAAGGTATATAACACTATCTCTTCTTGTATATCTCTAGTTAACAAATAATATTATTATAACAAACAAGTTATTTTTTTATAAATAATATTATTACAATAAATACATGTGGATCACAAGCAAATTTGTTTCATGATTTGCTGTTAATACTTCCCTACTACAATGGTCAAGGGTTCGATCCTAGTAACTAAAACTAAACATTGATGAATGAACATTCTAGAACTCATTATAAGAACCTAAGTCACGAGGACTAGTAATAAAACTAACAAAAGTTATTACTATCACTAGCTGAGCCAGTGACTTTGTACGCGTGATATTTGAAAAAAACCATAGATTATATCTTCTTTCTTTGTCAACCTATTGAAAGCATAGACACTAAATTTTACAGAAAGCTTCCTACAATAGTACAGTGCAAACTGTTTTCAAATTGGTTAAAATATTTCTTAAGACCATATACAACAATACTAGGTCCTATATTTTTTTAACTTTAAATGTTATAAGACGCTTCCGTAGATCAGTGTAAACTGCTTTCAGATAGATTAAACTGTATCTGAAGAAACCCATAGACAACTAAATAATATTTTTTTAACTTGGTAGCAGAAGTTGTATACTAAAAATTTTTTTGACCTTTTTAGCATAAATTACAATGTGTACAATATTTTTTTTAATATTTAATATCTCATTTACAATTTTATTATATGTATGATAACATAACATGGTCATATTGTGACATGTTGCTACACGAACTTATATTTACGATACTATTCTCTTTACGATCGGGTTACAGCCAGGATGTAACCAATTTACAATTTAGGCTCTATCCATAAACTACATCACGGGTTCTATGATTTTACAACCCCCAACCCCTCTTGTCACAGTTGGTCACAATTATGAGAACCCCTTGATCGCGGGTTCTATTCCTCGCACGATATGAACATTTGTTCATGGATGTTTGTTTGTAATGCTCTGGGTGTTTTATATGTATATTATGTATGTATACACAAAAAAAATGTATTTACTAGATAACTGATATAAATATATCAGTTATCTAGTAAGTATATCACAAGCTCTGTTTATAGCTTGGGACTAGATGACGCTGTGTTGTGAATTGTCGTGAGATATTATTATATTACACTTTGAAATCTGACGTCAAAATAATTTAGAACCCCTTAACAGCCCATGTGACAATGTCTCACTTACGAACCCCCCTTGTGACATAATATCACACTTTGCCCTTATCTGTGACGTAGTTTACGGATATCCCCTTTACCCACGCTGTCACGGAATACACTCTGTACAATGTCACAGTTTAAACAATATAACTAACTAACCGTGCCTACGACGCGGGCGTACTGCTGATGATCTGTTTTAATTTCTTCTCTATGTACTCCACTCGGGCGACGAGCTTGTCTTTAGGATTGTACTCTGTGTATGGGACTTGTAATACTTTGAATCCCTGTAACAATATCACTATTTGTAATTATTGACAATGAACTAAATTATTAATAATAATTTGGTAATTTTGAGAAACAAACTCGACCCCCCATAGGTCGCGAGGGGTCTCGACCCTTGGGGGGTCGAGTTTGTTGTTAAAGGGGGTCGTGACCCCCCGCTTGAGAAACGATGATGTACTAGATTGCCAATCCATTATTGTCAATATATATACAATTTATACAAATAAGAAATACCTTTACTTCCAATAGTCTTGAATACAGCTGGTTGATGCCTAATGGGTGTACGGACTTCCGCGTCATGTCGTGGTAATCCAAACCTAGTACTGCTATCCGGAACACGCTGTGGAAACACGAAAATATGGACATTTATAGGCAATAAAACCGTCGTCCTCTCTTCTCTTCTGCTTGCTGTACCCTACAGAGACCATAAACTGTTTTCAATTTTCTACCTACCAAAGGCTTGTAAATTTTTTTAAAATCCCATGGGAAATAATGAAAACTATTTCATTATTTCCTATTTAAGTAACAAAATAAATTATATTATTATTATATTATTATAACACTTTATTGCACCAACATATAAAGGACATGAACAAATTAAAAACAAAAAAAACTAAGTACAAAAAATCATATTTGGTTTTTAAATATAGTTATTGCGTTATTAAAGCATTGCTTTCCACAATACAGTACATGGATTTACTAGTTTTCACATTTATATGTTATGTTCTGACGCCATCTAACGATAGACTGGATTAATACAGCCGTAGCTCTAGGTAAGGTGTAACTCTGACGCGTCACAACACAACACTGCCGCTTGAATATAGCGTAGTATAATAGAAAATATGACCATTCAAAAGTGCTTACATTCAAGATGATTTCTATTTCTAATTGTCTAATAAATTTAATCACCTTTTATGACTCGCAGCTTTTTGTAAAGGTACTGGATGACATTTGGAGTCCACAGCGAACTCTCCATCTGTGAAAGATAGGTTTGTAAAAATATTAATCTTATATATACAATTCCGTGTCACAATATTAGTTACCATAGACCTCCGAAACGGCTTGAACAATTTTTATGAAATTGTATGTGCATATTCAGTAGGTCTGAGGACTATCTGTTTTTCATATACCTAAGTGATAAGAGTTGTCCAACACTAAGATTTTTTTTTATTGTTAAAAGATAAATAAATTCGTACAACCCCAAATTTTCATCCCTTTACCATCAACCTTTATTTTTTAATAGCGATTTTAATTTACATGGTTACACAATGTTTGCGGGGTCAGCTAGTATAAAATCGATGTAATATAATCAATCATAAGAATTTTAGAAAGGTCACAAGGGGTCGCCCATACAAAAAAAGATTGGAAACACTGATTGATTGATTTATAATAGAAGTATTTGTCCTTCTAGAACATGACGCCCCCCCCCCCCCCCCCCCCCCCCCCCTCTAGCCTTTGAGGGAGTTTCTTCAGTATTGTATTTCTAAATTAAACTCACTTACAGTAACTGAAATCAGTTAGTATACAAAGAATACTAACCATACAAAAATCCCATGCTCGAATTGCATTCCTTCTTCAAAAAAGTCTCTGCCGAGACGAGGCTCTTGAAGGTGTCCATAATACTCTGGATGTACGCTGTCTTCTCCTTAGTGTAGACCAGGGGCACACCAACTGATATATCTTCGGGTAGTCGAGGGGAGCCGGGGTATGTCAGACCCACGTAGGCGTCAATGACCATCAGCTTGCGACGCGATGGAATTGGAATCTCTTATAGAATAAATATAAACTTCATTAAAACAAACATACAAATTGGAAGGAAGTAGAACATGTGCTATATGTAAATAGCTGCCTTTAGAAGTATATAGAAATTGGAAGGAAGTAGAACATGTGATACAAATTGGAAGGAATTACAAAATGTGCTATATGGGAATAGCTGCCTTTATAAGTATATACAAATTGGAAGGAAGTAGAACATGTGATACAAATTGGAAGAAATTACAAAATGTGCTATATGTGAATAGCTGTCTTTACAAGTTTATACAAATTGGAAGGATGTAGAATATGTGATACAAATTGGAAGGAAGTAAAACATGTGATACAAATTGGAAGGAAGTAGAACATGTGATACAAGTTGGAAGGAAGTAGAAAATGTATTATGTGTAATAGCTGCCTTTACAAGTACTTTTTTCACGTGGGTATCGGTTCAGGTAAGAGTGTGCGTATAAATGTAGACAAAGAGAACGAGAAAGAGCACGCGCGCCGCCAATGAGCGCATGCGCGCGTCCTTCAATCATGCGTGCTTTAGCGACTTTTTGTAATAATTAATTATCATTATTCGGTGATTATTCATATGGATGGATGGATCAAAAGAAGGAAAAACTTCTGACGGTGGCCTTAGACTAAAGCTATACACGACTACGTAAAAGATTAACATATGTCGCTCCTACATGTCATAAAGAAGATTTAAAGTACATTCTTCATTCATTCAATTCATCATTCCGAAATCATCATCATCATTCATCATTCCGAACTGACGGTAGATTTGACATATCATAAGAGTCTGTAATAGACCTACATGAATAAAGATATTTTGAATTAGAATTCTGCATTCGCCTAGTAAACTAGTAAAGGCGGCAAATGCGAGAAACAGTATTAAATCTAAAGATATAGAACTCAAAGGTGACTGACGTAGTGATCTATCAACGCACAGCCCAAACCACTGGACGGATCGGGCTGAAATTTGGCATGCAGGTAGATGTTATGACGTAGGCATCCGCTAAGAAAGGATTTTGATTAATTCTACCCCCAAAGGGATAAAATAGGGGATGAAAGTTTGTATGAAACTTTGTCAATTTTAAACCGATCGGGCTGAGACTTTGCATGCATAAAGCTACTATGACGTAGTCATTCCCTAAGAAAGGATTTTGATAAACTCCACCCCTAAGGGAATAAATTAACGCGAGCGAAGCCGCGGGCAAAAGCTTGTGCTTCATAAAACTTAATGCTAACTATTAATGAAATTATATAAATACATACTTTGAAATTGGTAATGATAATAATAAAAATTCCTTACCGCCAGAAGATAATAATTTGTCTATGAATTCTGGACGAAGTGTTGAGACTAAGTGATGCTTCTCAGCTTTGTTTAATGTCAGTAAGGAGAATGTTAAGTCCAGCCATATGGAAGCTTTAACCATCTCATCTTCTTTAAGTGATACTGCCGTCTGTGGACAATATAAAAATTCATCCGTGGTACTCGTGAACAAGAGCTGATTGTCTGACTGGTCTGTTCTGGTTACTACGACTGATTTCAATCTTATTTATTCACTTAACCTTAATATTTTGATACTAATGAATTAATGCCAGTTGGTGCTTTGTATTGACACATTACAACTTTAAAATGTAAAGTTTTAACAATTATTTGGACGTAATGACATATAATTTTCTTGTAATGACACAGCTTTCTTGCGCCCGGGCGCTCGACACCAGTACCCCCGTCACCCCTCAGATCGATTCCCCATCCAATTCAAATAGGGATCGAAATTACAACGGCCTGAACAGAGGTCCGAACCCCTAGCGGTGCCCTCAGACTAATGTTGTATCTGTCAGGCGGGAGTTGGACTTTAGCCACTCCCATAAGTCATTCCTTTGGTTTGGAGTGCCATCTGCACTCGCCTCCTATCGTTCGATAAAACTGTTAAGGCCAGCTACAGCCAACAGCATTAGAATAGTCCGAAAAAAACAGCTTTTTTTTTATTATTTATATTTATATACTTTATTACACCAACATATAAATACACAACATTTAATCATTATATATATTTGATTAAAGATTATTTATTTTGCAAATATTAGGTAAACAAGCTGGCATGTAGCACCCGTGATACCACTCATGTCTTACCATTCCAGAGGAATATGACGTCATAGCTCTTATTCTGTCCAGAAGACTAAGATATCATACCTCTTATCCTGTAATTTCACTGCCTAATGAAACTGTAGAACGGAAACACAGCTTAGAAAGCACGCTACTTGGTAGTTAAAATAGGTGAGACTCAGGTAGAACTCAGGACGATAGGACCCACGCAAATGGCTTTTTGCAGTCTGCATCAGGAATACTTATTTATGAACGTATTCAATCGAAGCATGCAGGGGCGGATTGTGAATTTGTGAGGCCCTGGGCTAAATCTACTTAGGGACCTACCCAATTATATTACTCAACTAAAAAAATACACCGACCAAAAACAAGCGACCAGAAATTCCCCGTTTCTTTCGATAGACGCACACTTGCATGCATGCACATTTGATCTCAGGGTTGCCAACGATATTTTTTATATTCTAAATATCGTTTCAGTGGACCCTGGGCTGCAGCCCAAAAAGCCCTTAGGTAGATCCGCCCCTGGAAGTATGACTACTGGCCAATAAAGAATGCATACCTCAAATAGCTGCTCACTCTGCGGCGGAACGAAGTCAAGAGTTGCAAATGTGATAACAGCAGACGCGACATCTCCAGGTCTGCAGATGGTGTTGTTCTTCTGGATCCAGTCTGATACAGCAGTTAACGCAGCCTCGTGCCTGTACTTGAGTAGTCCAAGGGAGACTATGATAGAATTCACCACTGCCGGCTTTTCGTTGTTTGATGGCAAGCATTCTATGACGTCACTAAAATTGTACATAAAAATAAATAGAAAGATAGCCACCTACTAAGTGTTCCATTAAAGGAAACATTAGATTTACATAGGGCATTTTAGATAACAACCAACTCTCGTACAAAAGTAATTAAGTACAATTCACCTTGTACGACGACTCAGTCTGTACGTTATTGCTAAATACACATAATATATACCTCTCTTTCTATCTCACTAAAATTGTACATAAAAACAAATTGAAAGATCATCGTTTACTAAATGTTCCATCATAGAAAATAAATATTTTCATATGGAATTTTATGTAAAAACAACTCTTGTACAAACACAATACAGTTATTTGTCACTTCCTTCTTTATTAATATTGTAGTATAAAGAGAAAGTGACTATATTATATTAAAAGCAAACTTAGGAACTACTGATTGAGTCAATTTGATTTAATTTCAAAAAACAAACAACTTGACAAATCGTCCACTGTACAAAAGGTAGAGTAGTAGTAGTCGGTAGGTAGGTAAATATTATATGAATATATATACAAAATTCGCAATGTAAAAACAAAATGGATTGCCAGTATTGTAACAACAACCTTATATGCTATAGACTAGCGTTTGCCCGCAGCTTTGCTCGCGTTATTTTATCCCCTTAGGGGTGGAATTTATCAAAATCCTTTCTTAGGGGATGCTTACATCATAGTAGCTTTATGCATGCAAAGTCTCAGCCCGATCGGTTTATAATTGACAAAGTTTCATACAAACTTTCATCCCCTATTTTATCCCCTTGGGGGTACAATTAATCAAAATCCTTTTTTAGCGGATGCCTACTTCGTAAACAACTACCTGTATGCCAAATTTCAGTCTGATTCGTCCAACGGTTTGGGCTGTGCATTGATAGATCACTATGTCACCTTTCAGTTATATATATTTCGATGTACGGACGCGATCTGTGCTTTTAAGTGCAGAGACTAGGGTTCATTCCCGGGAATTCTCGGTTCGAGAATTCCCGGGAAATTCATGGGTTTTGTTCCCGGGAAATCAAGCTCGAGAACTCGAGAAATCATGTACCTATATAGAAATTAAATTGCCCTTTGTTTTCTTGCGAGGCGGTGCAATAATTTAAGATATTAACGTTTTTGTTTTCTTTCTTGTTATTTTTTTATTTTGTAGAAACTATTTTTGTTTACGTTGTTTTTTTCTAAATAAGCAGCCAAAAATGGCGCTGTCATTATAAATATAAGTCTGAATAATTAGGTCCTAAAAAATTTAAATTGGCGTTTTGTAAGGGAGTATGAAGTATTTATTTTCAAAATATAATATATTTATTTAATCCAAGTATCTACCATTCCTATTTATTTTTGCCTTTTGTTTTTGCACTTTGGACTGCCCCATCGGAGTTAAATTTTTTCCCTTGCAAGAAGTTATCCAAATTTCGAAAAAATGGTAATTTTTCCAATTGAAGCTCTTCTAATTTGGTAACTGTCTGGTGTGCAGTATGTGGTCAAGCGCTCTTGGCGATTGACCAGCCTCGGTTGTTTAGCAGCTAGCTTTTCCATCATGGTTTCTCAATTGCTGTCAATACACATTTGCCGTAATCGTCTGGCCAGATTTAAGAAAGCTGAAGTGAACAACACCGGAAATAGTCCACCAAACGTTCACAAGTAACATTTTTTGAGCCATATTTCGCTTGGGGCAGGATTTGATTGGTTCGCCAGGGTTTAGCCATTGCAATGAGCGTTTCCGATTATCGTTCAAGATCCACTTTCCGACACAGGAGATGATTTGATTTAAAATCCCTTCATTATTATGCCGGTTGATTAATGTAACGCAGCAGGCTACGCGCGTTTGTCGATTACTCCATTGAATTCATGAGGGACCCACTTTTCAAGCTTTTTCACCTTCCCAATTTGCTAAAGGATTAAAACAGTTTTGTCACTAACACCGCAGCCTGCTGCTAACTCGGACGGGTTTGCGATGGATCCGCTTCCACAATAGTCTTCAATTCTTCATTATCAATCTTGGATTCCGGCCGCCCACAGAGATTGATTTGCAGGTCGAAATTTCCAGAACGAAAACGTTGGAACTAAAAATGCACGTGTTTTCTTTTGCGAGACCACTGCCATACACATCATTAATACTTCGAACCGTTTAGCACCGTGTAGCGCTGGTGCCACAGCGGAACTCGTACTCGTAATTAACGCGATATTTTAAGTTTTTCATTTTGTATGCTGTGAGTGACCCAAAGTGAATAGCTGTATAAATTTGGAAATGGCATTCCTAACCAAAGAGGAGATATTTGAGATCAAAGTGGCCAGTACGACAAAACGCCAATTTCATATGTAAGGACCTAATAATATTTCTCTATTAAAAAAAAATATTCATAATATTAATTATTTTAAATATACTCAATAAAAGTTTAATTTGATACTTTTATTTGAGAGGAAAACCACTGAATTTCATTGACGTTATTGGAACCAAATAATATGAGAAAACGTACGTAAATGTAAATTTCTCGACAACCCGAGAAGACCCGAAAAATTGACCTCGAGAATTCTCGAGACCCGAGAAATTGAAAAGCTCGAGAAATCATGAACCCTAGCAGAGACTAAAACAAGTATGTACAGTGGCAGATCGTTCAGCATATTGGTCTGTTCTACTCTATGGTTTTGTTTAAATTGGATAATACTTCTTTTATTGCTTATTAATGGTAAACTTTCTGTATCATTTTCAAGAGCAAAATAACAATTAAGAACAGCATCAAAAACTTACTTGCATATTCTATCCAGAAGGACAGGATCAGGAAAATTTAGTGATACCATAGAGAAAAGGAGGTCGGCAGACTTCTTGAGGTCTATGATTTCACTGGTTTTATTTATATTGTGTGATAAAGCGCGCAGTAGAGGTGTGCTACGCCGGCTTTTAGAATGCAGCGCCTTCATTACCTAAAACATTTTTTATTTCATACTAGCTGTGCCTGCGGCTTCACCCGTGTGAAATTTATAGCCTAAATGTTATTCTGATGTATATGCTATATCAGTGAAAAGTTTAATCAAAATCGGTTCAGTAGTTTTTGTGTGAAAGAGTAACAAACGTCCATACAAACAAATTTTCGCGTTTAAAATATTATTAAGATATCAGGAGCTAAATACAACGATGACCCAAGGGACCCACTATCTAGTCCCAAACTAAGCAGTTTTTTTATGGATGATAATGAAATGGTGCATCCGCCTGCGCTAATGGTATACGCTGGTGGGGCACAAGAAACTATGTACAGTAAATGTGACTTAAGGAACATATTCCATGCTCAGTGATCTAGTGATTTAGTAGTTTTGTGTGTGGTTGATACTCATACAAACATTTATATTCATGAGTATCATTATTTGTATCTGTCTGATCGCTTTCTATGTACATATTACTTACAGATTTACTTACTTTGGGACTAGATGGCGCTATGAATGTCTTGGGTTGTTAGAAAAAAAAATATGTTTATTTGATACATATAAAATATACAAAACATAAAGTACAATTATGATTAATGAGCTCAGCTCAGCATATACCATTACGAGGTGCCACGACGCTGGTATTTTGCAGATACCTTCATACATATAAACATATTCAATTCAATTCTAAATATCTTTATTCATTTAGACCTATTACAGACTTTTATGATATGTCAAATCTACCGTCAATTCGGAATGAATTCGAGATGAGAAGAACTAACAAGAAACTCAGCTCATATTCTTTTCAAATAAATGTTGTACATGTTTATAATAATATAGATTCATTTAAATTCAAATTTGGGAGAATAGAGTGACCACCGCCATATGTTATTTCAAAACAAGTCTAATTGTAGTTCGTAACAAGTCATTATATGTCATTATTATTATTATTATTTTGATCCTTTCTCTCTCTTCTTTTATAAATTTAAAAGAAGGTAATACTCGCCCAAACGGACCTTAGCCGAGTGTGGTAGAGATTGTGCTGTGTAAAGTGTATCTGTTGATTTGAGGAGTTCAAGAATTTTCGAGTTATGCAACAGGTATTTAGTATTGTGGCTTTTTGTAAGATATATGTTTTATTATTATTATTATTATGATATAAAAAACAAACCTTAATCATCTGTGGCAGTGTCAAATTGGATATCAACCTGGCCGCTTCATCATCACCGGTGATACCCAGCACTGTGCTGAGATCCTCAGCCATGGTCAAAGATGTCATGGCCTGCGCTGTTGTCGGGGTCCTGGCTAGTATCCGACATAGTTTTAGGAATCTAGGGTCCTTCTCAAAGTCTGATATTTTCACTTTGTTGTTACTTGACCATTCTGATAGAACTGATACCATCTGTAAATATATAATATATATATAGGTTTTTACTAGCTGTTACACGCGATTTCTTCCACATCGAATTTAACCCCCTACGCGCATCTCTGTACAAATGGATTTTAAGCTTCTTTTTCTATTGAAATACAAAAAGTTCAAAAATAAAAGTAGCCCAAGTTAATCCTTACAATATCTGTGAGTAAAAACCCCGTTAAAATCAGTCCAGCCATCTCATTAACTAATAATAAGAACTCTTTGTTCTTTAAAAAATTAAGTTACTTTTTTGTGTAAGTACCATATATACTTTTATGCCTTATGTATTTGAAATTATAAAGAGCTTCAATTTTATTTTTCTGTAAAGTTCCTATATGATCATATTTTTGTTTAAGTTTTAGTTGTAAAGTATACAAAGTTAAATTAAAAATAAATTTTAAAACTTCATACAAACTGATAATTTTAAATAAATTTATCAGTATGAAATTTGGTTTTAATTTTTTTTTAAAGCACAGAGGGACAAAAAACTTAAGACCAAACATTTTATGCTAAATAACTTGCCTTCAAAGCATGACGTCGGGATACAGTTGAGTTTTCAGCTACAACCAACAGGCTATCTACATCTGTAGCTTTCAGGATCTCAGAATCCAGTTGCTGAACCCTGTTCTGCTTTAAAGATTTCGGGCTTGGTTTCTGTACTACCGATTCTGGATTGCTGAGAGATGCAAATACTGCTGCTACTAAACCTGGACCATTGAAACCAAATTACTATAATTTCCATTTATTCAAATTCAAATTCAAAAATCATTTATTCATGTAGGACATTTTAGCCGCTTATGAATGTCAAGTTTTTACATTATAATTTTTTTTCCCTACCGTCGTTTAATAAGGCTAATAAAATAATACAAACTAGCATAGGACCTACACTTTCAATTTGTTTACGTCTCAGCAAACAATATTTAAGTTCAATGTAAATAATGTCTTTAATATCCATTTATGTGAAGAACGTAAATGGATACAAGTATAAATTACTTTATTATTAAATATAAATAACAGAATGACAGTAAAGCAGGCCATGTTATGACTCTTTGACTTTGTGTAGAGTGTATGTTTATGTGTGTATCTTACTAATATAGTTCAACTATTACACCTGTATACTCACTCACACACATATATTACATGAAACAAATAAAGTAAGTCATATCATATATAATGCTATAGTGGCGAGGTGATGTATGAAGGTGACTCATCATGTTATACAATTTATTTTTATAACACCATGCTGGCAAACAGGCATACAGTTAATGGTAAATGGATACCATAGCCCAAAGACACCTGACTGACAAGAGGTTTTTTTTTCAGACTACCCTAATGCTGTTGGCTGCAGCAGGTGTTTACAGCTTCACCGGATGATACAAGTGATGTCACATGCATGTTGCCAACTTTCAAGAAACTTGTAGGAAGGGGAGTGCTAGTAACTCCATTGCTAGCAATGTACCATGTTAGGTTGCCCTCCCTGCAGTTTCCCCTGGAAACCATCCTGATATTTTCCTGGTACATTAGTTGTCATTGGCTAACTGACCTGACCTTATGATCATCCTATTGTTTTCCACTGGTGCTTTATCAACATATACTGATAGTACAAGAGGAAGCACCATTATATTATCCTCCATTAAAAGAAACCTTTAAGAAACTTTAATAGACCTTTCTTAAAAAGGGAAATATCGAGAGTGTGAATGAATAGATGAAAGTATTAAAATGTTGCAGAGTTATAGAAATCTGACTAATAAACTATTAAATTGTGGTGTACAGTTGCATCTTAATACTACTGTTATTCATTTTGTCTTTAGAAACTTTGTATTTCTGTAACTTTAAACTTCTGTTGAAGATACAAATAAAACTTTTATCTATATTTACATCTAGAAAACTAAATCATTGCTGAATAATGACTGATATTAAGGTATCATGAGTATCATATTATAATTGTACTACTATTGTTAGCATTATGTTGGTTTATAATTAGTAATTTTGTTTATTATACCACTTACTGTTTATCAATACAAATTTCTTCAAAATCTTTGTTTTACCTGAATTTTCTTTATCCTCATCAACGACTGGCTTAAAATTCTTGTCAGGACTGCTTTCAGAGGCATCCAATTGGTTACCTTTATGTATAGCAGCTCCAGAACTGGAGTACGTCCTTGTGATAGTTCGACCTCCTAACCTCCAAATAATTGAACCGCTGAATTTCAGCATCTAAAGACAAAAATTGAGTATACTAAAAACATAAAATCGTAGACATCATAAATAAAATACCTGAATGTATAGAACTTTCAATAATATTGGAAAATAATTAAAAAAACACGATTATTAGTCAGTCTTACATCACGACTGACTATTGATAAGGCCCAAGAAAATATAATAACATTAAAAAAATAACTTCAGAAAACGGATTTGTTAACAATACCTTTCTAGATATACTTCTAGATATTGTAAAGAATGAAAACAATAGTTTTAATTCATTTAAATTTTTGTATTTTTTGGTCAATTTTGGACATGAAATTGACAGCTTTGTAGGATTTTGACAATTGATTGACAATGACAATTGTGTCTGTTTTTTAATTTGACAATCGTACATAACAAATATAGCACAGATAAAATATTACAGCCGCTAAAAATTAAGAAACTATTTTTATTTACATTACATAGCTTGAACATTTTTATACTGTTTAATTTTAATATATTTTCTCGAAAATTATACTTTATTGAGTAATAGTAAGTAAGAATTGCTGTTTCAACTTACCTTTTCGATACAAAACAAAATAGGGATTGACAGGAATCAAAAAGTACTAATCTATCGATTATAGGTCTGTTTTTTTTTACATCCTCCGAAGCTATTTTAAAATACAATTTAAATTCGAATAGAAAAATTATATTTCAGATCCCTGGAGGTTTATTGAAATTCTTTGATATTGTATTAAGTAATGATACCTTTCGATTCCATAAAATTAATAGGTACTTTTTCATTTTACGTAGTGTGAAACAATAAATAGAAATGTTTACAAATTTATATATCAAATTTCAATGATTTAAGAAACTTTCTAACCCTTACAAACCCATTTCAAGTATTCGTGTCTTGAAAATAACTAATATAAGAAAACAAAATAGTGTCAATAACTTAAATCATGTTATTGAATTTAGTTATTTTATTAGAATAATTTTAATTCACTCAGTTTGATGTAAAAGCAAAACAATTTTAATTAGTAACTATTAAAATTAAGTATTATATATCAAGATTATTACAAAACTGATATATAATCTTAAAATATTTATATAATAAAAATCTGAATCGAGGCTTATTGATTATAAAGATTTATAAAGAAAATGTCAAAAGTAACAATTCAACAATCAATATTAGCGCAGCACTAGACTCTAAAATTGCGAACTTCAATTTCTTCCGTTGTTCGTCTGATATTTTTATTGTATTATTGTTGATTTATTTGATAGAAAAGTGCAACCGGTGTTAAAAACTATGATATTGGTAAGTTTGATTGTTTTGAATAACCTAATACCCATATTTCCATTACATGAAGCGTCAGTTGCAGTTAGCATTATTATTTAGTTGTGTTACATATTTATGTCGGTATATTTTACTAAGTTTTGTATGTAAATATTATTTTTCTCTCATTATAACGTCGATTTTGTTACTTAAATCAACTGTGAAGCAATCCCTAAAATAAATAAGCCAGGAATATCTTAATTATGTATATGCATTGCTTAGTAAATTGATAATTCTACCTTCATTGTATCGATATAATTATACCTACCTGCGTTATCACTGCGTCTTCTTAACCTCTATGTCAGCGATCTGTAACACAAAATTTAATACAAAACTACCGAAACATCCCATAAAGCTACCCACTAACCATATATAAATATTATTTTTAATTTATTTTGTTAATGTACGTATAAATGAACTTGTATCCTAGATGTGATAATTTTAAGATTACAGGTAAAGAATAGAATGAGAATTTTTCCAATTGGAATATTACTTTGACATTTAATCAGGCATCGATTGTAATAGACTGAGATGTATCAATACATAAGCCCACTGGTTACAAGTTCTTGTGACTTAATCCTATTTTAGAATGTAAAATAATTTCAGTTATCATAATCATATAATTGGAATGTATGTGCTCTGTAAAATACTAGAATGTAGTATGGTCTTCAACCAGAATTTCACAACAAACTCTGTAATTATTTATGACACAACAATATGATCTATATCCTTTCCATACCATACTTTATATATAAATTTATTGTATACTAGCAGTTCCCGCGACATCGTCCGCATGGAATATAACATTATTTTTCTAAAATATTTTTTTTTAAATAAAAGTAACCTAAGTTATTACATCTTATTACATCAGCTACCTGCCAAAAAGAGTCCCATCAAAATCGGTCCAGCCATTTCAGAAAATAGCCGAAACAAACAGAGACACAGACAAAAATTGTGAAAAATGTTTTTTAGGTGTATTTACTGTATTTATATTCATATGAATGTATTAAAAAACGGTTATTTCAATATTACAAACAGTCACTCCAATTATATGTATAGATAAAGTATGGTATCTGAACTTACTACCATTACTGTCATTATTATAAGTCAAAATTTTTATGACTTTTATTACTAGCTACCCACCCATGTACTCATAAAATATATAGTACCTAATAATTCATTCATTCATTCATAATTTAAGAGCCATTCTTGTTGGTGGAGCTCTTGCCATTTTTGATGATGAAACTCTCTAGTTCCTTGAACCTCTTTAGTTGTCAATACAATATGACACCAACCTTTTCCTTGATCTGTAAAAGTCTTGATAATAATAACATAATACATATAGCACATAATTCTGGCATAATCTACCATTGAAATATTGAAGGAATTCATCTCACACACACTGACCTGACCTCATGTTCATCTGATCATCCTCCACTGGTGCCCCGCCAGCGTAAGCCGTTAGCGCAGGCGGGTGCACCATACCATTATCATCCATAAAAAAAAACACTTGCCATGGCGGGAAGGAGATTGTTAGTAATGTGGTCTAATGATCCCATTGCTAGCAATGTACCTGTCAGTTCGACATCCACATGGCTCCTGGAAACCATAGTGTTAAATTCCCGGTGAATTTTTCACATTGGGCTAACTGATCTGACTTCATGTTCATATTATTATCCTCCACTGTTGCCCTGCCAGCGTAAACTGTTAACGCCATTGAGTGTGCAAAGCACATGTCCACATTTCAAGTGTTTTTTTATGGGCTACAGGCTATTGTTTAATTTTGACTCCAGACATCCCACAAATTATGTTTGTGATTTTTATTGTTGGCATTTATATAATAAAACTGGAATTATGTAATTTGTGGAGATGAAATAAAATTTATTATTATTTAACAGTTTGGGAATTATTAGATTTGTTATTTATTGGAAACCATTCTGATAATTTCGTCACAATGGGCTAACTGACCTGACCATATCACTTCATGCTCTTCCTATCATCCTCCACTAGTCCCCCGCCAACATATACCATTAAAGCCAGCATGTGCACCATTGCATAATCAGACATTGGAAATAAAAAAATATATTTTGAATACCACAAATGAATTACAAATCACAGTTGTCTTAATAATGATTTTGCTCTTCATAAGTTCTCATTAAAATTTTCAGTGATCCAATGTTAGAATTCTAATAACAGATTTATGGACTTTATCATTTATTATATTAATGAGATTAAAAATCATTGATTATAATAATTGAATGAATATCATTCATTAATTCCTTTTATCTAAATGTAGTCCATATCTATAAATATACATAAATCACTATTTACTGAATTAAATCTTATATATAAAATTCTCGTGTCACAATGTTATACCATACTCCTCGGAAACGGGTTGACAGATTTTTATGAAATTTTATATACATATTCAATAGGTCAGAGATTCGGCTACTATCTATTTTTCATACCCCTAAGTGATAAGGGTTGTTACCATCCCTAAAATTTTTGTTTTTATTTTTTGGACAATTTATTTATTTTATAATGAGGCATTAAAAATACATACAGCCCTAAATTTTTACCCTTCTATTATCAACCCCTATTTTTTAAAGTTTATTTTAAATTATAAGGAAAAACTACGTATGCTGTTACAGCTAATATGATTATAAAAAATAGACAGAATAGCTACGAGTATGTTGTTAATTTATGCGGTCGAAGTGGCACTGAGAAGTATAGCTGTGAAATCTCTCCTCTACAATCTTGTAAAAGATCTTGGCCTGTCTATAACAGCAGTGGGTTCTATACTAGAATGTGTATCTAAAGCTGCACTAGCGGGCTCCTAACAGATTTGTCGGAGCAGAGAGAAAAACACGAGCGCTGAAGGAGAGTGTTGACAAAGGTCGGCAAAAGACTCCCTTAAACTTAATAATGATTGTTATACCTGTCTGACTGTTTGTCTGTAAGTGCACACTAATATTAGAAACAGCTTAACTGTTTGTATGTGGTTTTCATAAATGTATATTGATATTATTGCCACTCCTATTGTTAACTTTAACATGTTATGTTAATAATAATGCTAAATTTTTACCTGCAAATTGTATCGTTAATACTATATGTTGTAAAAAAAAATTGTGGTCAACGGTGTTATAATAAGATACGTATAAATATATACTGTATTGTTAATTAATATATTTACATTGTAAGCACTGTTTGTATATTTGTTATATTAAACTCTGTGTCTCAAAAATATACAACATATAAAATCTATAGGGTATGAAGGTACAAAAGGCGGTCTTATCGCTTAAGCGATCTCTTAGATAGATAGATAGATAATTGATTTATTGCCAACATAACACAAATAATACAGTTTACAATAAGACACAAAATGAGAAATAAATAATAACATAGAAAGTTGGCAATAGGAGCTGCCTCAGCTGTTGCTGATATAAGCACAACCTTAATGAGGTGCACCTATACAGCGCTGGATTTCAGGCAGCCCCTATTACTCATTAAAAAAAACTAAGATGTGGGTTCTTCTAGACAACCTTTGTTGATCCAATTAAAATAAAAAAAAAAATTTCATCATATCATCATCTGCTTCTTCCTTATCCCATATATTTGTGGTCGTCGTAATATGTTTTTCGCTTCCATTCATCCCTGTTCGCAATCATCGCGTTATTTACTTCCTTTCTTACCATATCATCTTTCATACAGTCCATCTATCTCTTTTTCGGCATTCCTCTGCCCTTATAACCATACACATTCATTTGTAACACCTTTCTTAAAATATTATCCTCGTTCCTACGCATTATATGTCCATACCATGATAGACGATTACTCTTCATCCTCTCTAACACCGGTGCCACTTCCATACTTCCTCTAATGTATTCATTCTTTATCTTATTAAATAAAAAAAAATATTTATAAGAAGATTGTTCAATTTTGTATTTATTTTATTCCAATCGGTTTACAAACAAAAAAAATATGCAAAAAAAACTTAGCTAGTTTAAA